ACACTTGAAGGCTCTTCTTGGTCTCAGTAAGTTGTGTCTGCTGCCCTTATTTTATCAGCCCTTTGAGTTTGTGGAGGTTGTACTGTTCAGCACTTGATTATACACAACAAAGGTAATTCTAGGTTAGGTTTTCTCGGAAGGCTGTCAAAAATCACTGTGGAACTTTTCGAAAAGCAGATTGCCAAGTCCCACCTCAAATCTGCCAAACCTCTCTCAGATTTTGTCTGTGAATTTATATGTTCCACAAGCCCCAGTGCTTCCAAAACATTGTGGTCCAGTGTGAAAAGCACCATTCAAGAGAGTGCAAGAAGTAGAAGCATTCCTCAGGCTTTGTGAGGGCCACTTGACAAAACTCAGCCCCTGGTCTTGAAGGAGGCGATAGCTAACAGGGAAGATAATGTCCATATAGAAATAACTATAATACACAGTGAAAATAAAGAAGTTCCTTCATTGTAGAAATAGCTCCTTCCAGAAAGCAAGTCAGAGAGATTTTAGAGGTTTTTTGTGTTTGTTTAATGAATAGAATATATTACTATATATATGTTTTAAAGTATTTGTGTCATTAGAGCTCTCAAAGTTTATTTTATGAGACATGGTCTCATGTAGTCCAGGCTGGTCTTAAACTCAGGATCCACTGCTCCACCTCCCCAGTCCTGGACTATAGGTGTACACCACCACACCTGGCTCATTGTCAGACGATTGACATTTAGCATACATAAATGTCTCTACTTTGCTTCTCTTTCCTTCACTGGCTCACTGGGATAATTTATAGAATTTATATAACATATTAAGACAAAAGCAAAATTGTTCATATTTTTAAATCTTACTACATTTTAAAAAGGGGGAAAGCCTTGCCCTCTGTAGATGTTCAGCCCTCCGGGAGCTTCTGTGTAGATTTTCTGCTGGGGATTGTCAACTTAAACAGCATAGAACCACATACATGGAGAGCTAATTGTGGGCCTCCTCAGTGTTAGTGTGGCCAGAGCTTTCTTCTCAGATGTGTGTGACACACTCTAATTTTTCCAATAGAAACTAAAATCACTGTCCCTACTACCATCATGCTTAGTTTATGGCTCACCAGTGAATAACACTCTTAAAAATAAATAAAGAGAGATGAATAGGAAAGGAAAAATATGCTCTCTCGCTCTCTCTCTCTCTCTCTCTCTCTCTCTCTCTCTCTCTCTCTCTCTCTTTCTCTCTAATTCTAACAGTGGACTCTGTTCTGAGAGGGAAATGAGAAGTAGCTACATTTGGTATGTTCCTCCGGGATACTAAAGAATCAATATGGGTTAGGAAAAAAGGACCAAGCAGTGCCAAGGACCCATAAGGTGTAGAATGCACTCTGAGACCCGAGCTCCAGGAAGACCATGGCGGGCTTCATGTCTAGACACCATGACACCTGAGTGGCTAAGCCAAAGAGATATGTGTTGAAAAAAATAGACAAGACCAGGTAACTAGTTGGATGTTATAGGAAAGAGGCAAAGAGGGGTCTGAATGAACAAAAGCTGATTGAACCAGTCACTGACAGTGTGTTGGAACACAGTCTAAGAATGGAGTTGTGCAAGGGGAATTCTGAGTGCTTGTGAGAAAACAAGTGTCTTGGGACCTCAGTTTCTTCAAAAAACACGGAGTTGTTTTTTGAATGTGTTTTCATGCTCCTCCCAGGTGTAGCTGATAGGAGTAAGTTGACTTCAGTTGGTGTTATTGATGGAAAACCATGTTTTTGCCACATGTGGCTTGTCCTTGTGATTGAACATCTAACTCTTCCGAGTCTTCTTAACCCTCGGAGTATAAATTGTCTGGTGCGATGAATAAAGTTGACTATCCCATGCCATTTTAGTCTGCCTCATTTTAAGGCCGGCTCTTGCAGGTTCATGCCACCAACTAGAGCTGTAAACAACAGTGCAGTGAGAACAAACAGATTTGCCAGAACACGAGTTGCACTTCCTTATAGACATGAAGTGTTCACTCTACCATGCAAACCTTAGTTCCCAGTAATTGGCTCATATGCAGCATGTGTTGTAATTGCTGTTTGCTAAGGATCTGAAGCTGTGCCTTAATAGTCTTGATACCTAATTAATTTGTTCAAACAAAACCAGACTATAATCTTATGTCTTGCACCCGACGGGGGTGGCTAGAAAAATATGATTGACTTCATTGTTTTTAAAAAGTTTTTTCAAAACCATCAGAAAAAAAAATAACTTAAAAAAAACTAAGTAAGCTTCAGTGTTGACTTGATGGGTAATTCATAACTCTTCAGCATATAATCAGACAATGGGGAGAGTGAGTACATTGTTTACTTAGTGGCTATTAGTAAACCTTCAGAATGTGTAAGCAGACACTGGGGAGAGTGGACATATAGTTTACCAAAATTATTTTCCATTGAATTTCCTGAAAACACCTTTTAAATTTTCTGTTTATGTAAAATAAATTTAATTCAAAAATTAAATAATAATCATGGTATGGTGCATGTTAGTAGTGGGCACTTGCCTAGCATGCATGAGGCCCTGGGTTTGATTCCCAGCATTCCATACGTAAGTAAATAAATAAATAACTTGTGGTATTGAAGTATGTCATTCTTTAGAGATGTCTAGTTTCCAGAGCTGGAGAGACAACTCAGCTGGGAAGAGTGTGTGCTGCTCTTGCAGAGGACCTAAGTCTGACTCCCAGCATCCACATTGGGCAGCTCACAGCAGCCTTTAAGTCCAGATCAAGGGGACCTGATGCCTCGGGTCTCTGAAGCACCCATACACCCCTTTACATACCCACACACAGACACACATGTACACAAATCAAAAATAATAAAAGAAATCTTGTAAAAATGTTTTCTGGAACTTAACCTATCACCAATAGAAGAAGAAAAAAATAATAGTTAAGGAAAAAAAGGCAGATGACTAATGGTTTTTATTTGATGACATAACATAGCTCAGTATTGTATTGACTAAATTGTTAATATGTACCTGGTTTGACATTTTTTTCTTAGTTTACTAATGTTCTTAATTGGCAAAAATTAAATGGTTATTTTTGGGTTAGTTATTTTTATTTTATTTTTTCCCAGTGTGGTGTTTGTTCTTCTTAGTTTTTTGTTTTTTTGTTTTGTTTTGTTTTGTTTTGTTTTGTTTTGAGTAAGGGTCTAATTTTTTAGCCTAAGCTGATCTGGAACTCACAATGTAGCCCCTGCTGGTTTTGAATTCTCAGTAATCCTGATTGCTGACATGAAGGCATGTGCTGCTCTGCTATTTAAAATTATGTATTTGTTATATACAATATGATGCTTGGAGTAATTTCATGTGGAGTGACTTAATGAGGCTCATTCATATATGCTCATAGACTTACACATCCTGTGGTATTAACATTAAAAACCCACTCTCAGCTGTCTTCATGCACATAAAACATTACTAGTGTGGTCACTGTGCTCTTTTGAGCTTATTCCTGCTGTGTAACTGTAACTTTGTTCTTTGACTAACAGTTCCCCAAACACCATAGGCACCCAGCCTCTGGCAACCACCATTCTCTTGCCACTTCTATGAGTTCAACCTTTTCCAGTTTATATGTAAATGGGATTATGCAATGCCTTCTGTGCCTGCCTTATTCCATGTCACATGATGTCTCTCAGGTTCATCCAACTGTTTTTATGTTTAATACTGTGCAGTCTGTCTCAGATGTCAAGTATTTTGCACTTGGAATTTAATCCATGTCATTTTGTAAAATTTTACTTTGTTTGAAACATTTAGTTTTAGGAGGAAAAATATATATCTGGGTTTTTCCTTCTTGATAACTTGACTTTAAAATAATGTTTTAAGAACTGACTTGTTTGAATTTCAGTATTGAGTACATTTTTTATTATAGTATAAAATATTTGATTAGCACAGTATGGTGGTACACACCTGTAATCTAAGCACTTGGAAGTGATGGCAAATCAGGAATATCGGGACCAACTTTGCCTCAGAAAAGCAGTAAATGAATGCATAGAGAGCTAGAGAGATGACGAAGTCAGTAAAGTGTCATCAAAAAAGCTGTGTGTGGCAGCACTGATTGGAGGGGGACAATTTGACTGGAGACAAATGGAACCCTGAAACTCAGTTTCCAGCCATCCTAATCTATTGATGAGCCTCGGGTTCAGTAAGGGACCCTGTCCTCAAAAAGTAAGGTGGAGAATAACTGAGGAAAGACACCTGACATTGACCTCTGGCCTCTGTAGGCAGTGTACACAAATACACGAGTGTGTGTGTATACTTGCACACATGCATACATATTGTTAATTCCACAGGTTTCAGGAGAAAGACCACCTATCCAAATCATACCCAAATTAATTACAGCAAGCTTTATTTTTTTTAGGTACACAGGCTATCTCCCGCTAAAGGCAGGGCTCAGGAGATGAGCATTGGACATGGGTGAGATAAGGGTTTTTATAGTTCAGGAGTAGGGGATTTCCAAATGGGGGATTTGGCAGGCAAATTGGAGTTACAGAAGAATAAGCATAACAAGTAGGTCATAACAACGTCCTGAAGCAAAGACATGTTGCAAGGTGGTCATAACAACAGGTGGTCACCATAACCTTTTGTAGCAAAGGCATGCTTGCTGTTTCCTGGAACAGGCAGTATAGAACCACTTGTAGTTAAGGTTACAGGTGGGGCATAGCCCAATCTTTGAGAAATAGATTTAATCATAAACAGGAATGAATCTAGTTTCTCTTTTTGTATAAGGTGGCTTTCGAGCCTAATATGGAAGCAGTCTGGTTTATCAATATACCCACATTAACATGTCCATATACCACACATTCATATACACACTAAATACACAATGAAAGTAAAATCTTTAAAGGTAACTTTAAGTTGAAAATTCTGATACACCTGAACATCAAATAAAGTTATTCCTCACTTTCCAATGTGAACTTTCAAAGTTTGAGCCAATAAAAATGAAAATTAGAATTTGCATTTCATTTTCAGTCTGTTCATGTGTGACCTGCAGAATTAATGGAATATTTTCTCACTATTTAGGAAGTACCAGAGGGGCACCAGGGTTCAGCTGTGGCTCCTGGATCTTGAGCTAACATCTAGGTTCCTGGGTGCGACCACAGATACAACTCTACTGGAGGCCGATGCAGTTCTCTTAGGACTCCAAGAGAGCAGAGACTCAAAATCGAGAGAGGAACAACTCAATAAGTAAATGAACTCTACTTGGCTCAGTCAAAACAGGCTCTGATTTGAGCCCAGACAGCTGTAAAGAATGCAATTAGAAAACTGTGAATAAATGATTGAATAAAGTTGTAATAAATGAAAACTCATCATGCCTTGTCCTTGTCCTTGTTACAGTTATTTTTGGCTGCACCCCCTTTTTTTCTACCTATTTTTTGTTGGATTGGGGCAATGCAAACAATCCTGAGATTCTCTTAATTCAGTCAGTGCTTTGAGTACTGTCTAGACAGATGGGGTGATTCTAACCAACAGTAAACAAGTAATACAAATGGCTTGCCTTGGTGTGGAAAGTAGACAATAAATAAGAAAAATGTATTGTGTGTTAGTGGTTCTTGCTCAGGAGAAAAACAAAGCAAAGATGGGCTACAAGGTTCCAAAGGACCAGTTAGAATTTAGGTATGATCAGCACAAGGTCCCAAGAACAATCACTGAGGAGGGACTTAATGGGGAAAACGAAGCCACAGGAGTCTCTGGGAGAACATGGTGGCTAGTGTTAAAGCCCCTGAGACAGGCCTGGGCCTACCCAGTTCAGAACCAGGAAGAAGCCATCACAGCTGAGTGGAAGAAGAGAAGAGGCAATTGCAGAGAAGCAAGGGAGAGCACATATGTCCTTCAGCATTCCCTTGCTGTGATCAAGAGGGAGGCTCACTGAGGGATTCTTGGAAGCAGAGGGTGTATGATCTGCCTGTTCCTTTGCCTGGACTCCTTGAGTTGATCGGCTGAGCAGTCTAAACATGAACAAGAGTAGCCATAGAGACCTGTAAGGAGATTAGCGATCATCCAGGTAAGAGACCCGGGAGAGTAGTAGGGACAGGTGGAGAGAAACATTGGAAAAGAAGGCAGGGGTTTCATGATAGCACATCTTTAATCCCAGCATTCAGAAGGCAGAGACGAGTGAATAGATGTGAGTTGAGACTAGCCTGATCTACATAGCAAGTTCCAGGCCAGCCACAGCTACACAGTGAGACCCTGTCTCAAAATGAGGGTATATGCATTCTGTTTGGCAGTGTTGTATGTTATCGTATCATAAAGTCCTAAAGTCCAGGGATATCATTCAGTATAGAGCACTTGTCTTGCATGTATAAGGCCCTGAGTCAGTGATATAAGAAAACAAAAATATCTTGCTTGCTGTCCCACTAGGGGCCAAGCTGATTGGCCTAATGGTCCTAAACAGTTTCACACAAGTGTCATTTCACCAAGAGGGCCAGATGGGTGGAGTAATCTGGACCTAGTGTGTTGAGTCAGAATGTCATAGACGGCCTCTAACAAGGTAAAATTGGAATAGACTGTCTCCATGACAGCTGACTTTGTGCAAGAAAACAATATAGGCTTTTCTGACCTAGTCTGATCTTCCCAGTGGTTGTAAAAAGTGGGAATGTCATCTCCCTATGAAGGGGAAGGCAACAATACTTCACCTCTTCCTAGGGTTGTGGTATGACTCACATGGAGATGAGAAACAGGGCCATTGTAAAGAATGGACTATGGGCCAGGCGTTGGTGGAGCACGCCTTTAATCCCAGCACTTGGGAGGCAGAGACAGATGGATCTCTGTGAGTTCAAGGCCAGCCTGGTCTACAGAGTGCCAGAACAACCTCCAAAGCTATACAGAGAACCCCTGTCTTGAAAAAAAAGAATGGACTCTGCCTCTAGGGGTAGACATGCCCTTATCTCCTGTTAATCCAGTGGGGCCGGCCTGGGACATGACTAGGTGACCACCCCAGCAGGTTTCACAGTAAGATGATGTCCCACTAGTGTAGTGTAGTGTGGCTGGGTCACATTGCCTTCCCGAGACCCATGTCTTTTTCTTCCGGATGCTAGCCAGAGCTGAAGTATGTTTTGAAACTCCTTAACTAAGGCTTTGGGCTTCCTTGCTCTTTCTGAGCTCTCCTCCAGGCTGCCTGCCCCATGTGGCTGATCTCCATCCCCCCTTATCATAAGCAGCAGCATGGCTTTTGTTCTCTGTTCTTTTCCTCCCCTGAGAGACTTACAGCTTGCCTGCCCTGGGATTTTCCTTCCAGACTCTAATAAATTGTCCTCAAACCTCCATTTGAGTTCATTCTCTTCTTAAATGCTTTTGTTAGTGAGACTAAGTACCCCAAAAGGGGACCCCAGTTTCCCAGGCATCGCTGATGGCTGTCCTGGGACTCCTTAAGATTGCTAGTGACTCTTCTCCACTGCTGTTTAAATGTGTAGTTGGCAGAGCAAACACACCATCCTCCAGTGCCTAGATGGCATTATCTCCATCTTTAGAAAGTCTGCCACCAAGATCATGCCCTTTAGACAAACTCTCAAATACAAATGTCAGCTCTCCCACTCCTGTCCGTCCTGCTCCCTTAAATACATTGCAACAGTCTTTGAGATTCCAGCCTGTTGGCCCTACTTTATTCCTCATTGTCCCATTCATGCTCCCACTGCTCTCACTCTCCAGCTTTCAATTGGGTGTGTCATTACAGTGGCCCCCTTGCATTGCATTCCAGCACCAGAAACAGTTCACCATTGCAGGAGAAATCCTCTGTGGCAGGGATGGAATGCGCAGAAAGGAAAAGCAAATGCATGTGCCTGAGAACACTAAAATGGTATCTCCCTGTACTCCGGGAACTGGAACCCAGCAAGTGTTGATTAAGTAGTCCTCTTACTTGTGGAGTAGACTCCAGAAATAAAAGATGATACAGGTCCTGCAGCAAGACTCTATGAGCCTTTCCTCAAAAGCCCACCACCAGATCTTTCCCATCTCTTAGTATTCCACAATAAAGGCCAGTTGTTAATCTGAACTTGGCTTCCGAGGTGAACTAAGTTGAACAGTGCCCCTTCCCCAGTCTGCGTCCACCTGCAACCTGTGAATGGGATTTTATTGGGTATAGGGATGCAGTAGCTATTTTTCTTGTTGCTGTGACAAAATACTTAACAAAATCAAAATTTCCTTAAGGAAGTGGCTCACAAGAGTGAGGATCCAGTGTAATGTGTAGGGAGAGCACGGCTGTGAAAGCAGCTGTAGCTGTGGTAAGAGAGGGAGGCAACTGGTTGTGTGGCATGCACAGTCGGCAGCAAAGAACGATGTGCTGCCTGCCTCACTTCTTTCCCATCTGGACCTTCTACCCAAGGGATGCTGCTGCCCACATTCAGGAGGAGGTAGATATGACCTCCTCAGGTAAACCTCTTTGCAAAGAGCCCCAAAGATTCATCCAGAGGTCAATTATCCAGAGTGTGAGTCACTCTGAAGCTATTACAAATCCAGTCAAGTTGAATATCAACATTAACCATCATCATTTTGGGCAAGCATGTTTTAATCTATCTTAAGCTAAAGAAGATTTCTCAATGGTAACTTACAATTTTATCCTTATTTTCACCCTCAACAAGTTTTGTTTTGTTGGGTTTTGTTTTTTTCCAGTAAAATGTCCTGTTGCATATTGCCAAAAAAAAAAAAAAAAAAAGCAACCAAAAACCCTTCTCCCAGGGCCCAGCCATGACACTTACTGTTTTTAATAGGAGTATCTTTGGTGTAGACAGACCTAAAACATGCTTTGAATTTGGCCTCTGCACAAACCCTCAGACTGGAGTCAAAGCCAGTAGAATCACAGCCTGAAATTGGACCTCCCCAATCTGCAGACCAAATGGTTTAATGCTTATTGTCCTAAACCCCTGACATTTTGGTGGTGGTTTATGAAGCAGGAAGAGCCAAACTGACTGATACAGAAACTAATCCCCAGGGGTAACCTTAACTCCAAAACTGAATGTTGAACAGGATATGGATGTTGAAGATAAGAAAAATAGTGTGTTGCAGTACCAAAACATTTGGCCAACTGTCTGTCACCTGCAGTAGCTTGAAGGACAGAAAGCTTAAACTCTTTCTTCTGTAAGTTACCTTGGTCATGGTGTTCTTGCCCAGCCACAGAAAAGTAACTAATGCAATGCAATCACAAGAAATAGACGAACTCAGAAGAAACTATTGGATTCTAGTACCCACATAAGAAGCTGAACATCCACCACACACCTGTAACCCCAGCTCCAAAGGAGGCAGAGATGGTAGGTCTTGCTAGCTTCCAGCCTAGCTGAGAGAGCACATGTTCAAGGTCAGGGAGAGAGACCCTGCCTCAAAGAAACAGGCTGAAAGTGACAGAGGAAGATGTGCATTGCTCTTTTCAGGTCTCTGTCAGTGCACACCAGCACATATACCCATGAACACATGTTCACATGCACCATATACTCACATATAGAGACACATACAGATACACAAATAAATAAATGTATTTTAAATAATTTAAATGTGACTAGGATATAGCCATAGCATCTATTGTTTTGACTTCTGGAAGGACTAAGGTGTATAGACTCTTTCAGATAGAATTCCCAGAAATCTTTAGGCCAAGTTCCACCAAAGCAGTGTTTCTCAGCCTTAAGTTCTTCATATCTGATATGCAACCCCTGTAGGTACATAGGTTGAGAACCTCTGCAATAAAGCCTGAATATGTGCAAATTAGAGGTAATTAAGCCTCAAAAAATAAAAAAATTTGCCAGACAGTGGTAGTGCACACTTGGGAGGCAGAGGTAGGAGGACCTTAATGAGTTCAAGGTTAGCCTAGTCTACAGAGTGAGTTCCAGGACAGCCAAGATTACACAAAGAAACCCTGTCTCGAAACCACCACCCTCCCCCCCCAAAAAAAAGAAAAGAAAAGAAAAGAAAAAAGCTTAGCACAAAAGGACTAGTAGGCGTGCCTTTTGTAGTTGATTTGAAACAAGAAAATAGCCCACTAAGGTTTTGAGGACATATATTGATAACAATGCTTCCAGTATAAACTAAGAGACTTAAATGGTTCAAAACACAAAAAGCCCTCATAGATTGCAATTTTTATGCTAGGTAGAGGCACCCAACCAGTTGATAAGAGGGATTCCTCCCAGCACGTAGGAGCTGCTGTAGTTAACCTTTTCAAATGGGAGCATTTATTTGAACTACCTTATACCTCTTCTATAGAACTATGTAGTGTTCAGTTCACAGGCCTGGGGAGACTAGGTAGCAAGGAGGGCCCCAGGGGGGAAATGCAGGGATCTCCCTGGGAAGGGGAAATAGAAGAGATCTTCTGTGTGGACTACGGGTGTGTGGGAA